CATCTGTTTTTAGAGCTATTCCACTGTTTCTTTGCACATAACATCACACATCCCTTTTAAAAAAGTAAAGTCCATACTCACCTATGAAAATGGAAATAAAAAAACATTAAAAAGGACAGAAAGACATCAAGCTTGTTTCATTTCCATAAATGAAAACTGCATTGTATCATTATGAAAGTGTATAAAATATTTGGAAACGCCAACAAATTATCTCTATTAGTAAGTGGGTTTATTGGCATAATTGAACTTAAGAATGTATAACATTTATTCATTTCCCACTGAAAGACTTCCCAGTGAAACTAAACTAGAACACAGATCCAGGCATTAGGCGTTTTCAGTGATGTTCTATGGCTGAAAAGGTGGCTGGTGAGGAGAACCAGAGGCCTTGTCCATACTTGCAGTGGGACTCAATGTTACCCTGCTGGGCAAAAGAAATAGCTAAGAGATGCAATCATGCTATGACTGAAAAAAAGCCAGGAACACAAAAGGTGCCAGATAGCTCACTGGTTGAAAATAAGAGCAAACACCACTACCGCTCCCATGTGCCAATATGCTCTGAATCTAAAATAAGCCCTGGCAGCAAACTAAGAATGACAGCCTATTTCCTGTGGTTTATTAAATTGTGGCCCCACAGATAAGACTGCCAGAAAAGCAGCTGTAAGTGGTCTGGACATTTACTCATCTGAGCATAAACAACGATCAGCTCATTCAGATGGCTGGTTCCCTACTCAGCTGTTGAGATGAGGGCAGGGATGGGTCAATCTAGGCCAAACATAAAAGGAGTGAACTGGGGTGAAAGACCCCGGGCAGTGATGGATTCCCTGAGTCACCAGGACAGAGGCTTAAGGCTCTAAACAGAAGGCTCCACTGTCAGCCTCAGCACCATTGCAGTGACCTCCATGGTACTCTACTGCCAATAAATCCATGACCACTGTGAACATAACCACAGTATACATTCTCTTAGTAACTGCATTTTTAGACCACACATAAAATTATTAATGTAAACCAAACCACTATACTTAGTGATAAACATGTACTTCATAAATAGCAGAGAACAAAAGTATCCCAAATAGTTGGAAACAACCAAACAAATAAGTGATCCTACCCCTAAGTTTAAAACAAAAACATTTAAAAGAAATGCTGCAACTATTAACTAAAAGATAAGATTTAATAACACAGTAAGACACTGGGTTGGGGAGGGATTAATTGCAAAATATATCATTATTTCACAGTGAGGTTTAAGTACTCAAAACAATCTTCTGGTTTTAGTAGAAAAGATACCCACTGGTGTATTTTTTTCACATTTGTTTTCCAATTTCTTCCCCTCTACTACATCATATAAAGAAAGACACTAATGTGGTCAAACATTAAACTATCAATTGACAATCACCATTTGCTTCCCTGTTAGGAAATTACCTTCATCACTTAACTGCAACTCAAGAGAATTAGGGTACAGTCAACCATGTCACTGATAAAAACATGAGAAGTACCACATCACATTTATTCCAATCTAAACACACTGTCACAGATGTGGTAAGTGAACTGGAACGCTGGTGTTCCCCAGGGGGTCATCAGCTACGTATACATTACATTCTTTTATCAAATCTGGCATTGAAATTTCCTTTTCCATATATAGGTTTAAAAAAATAAAATTAAAAAGCCACAGGAGCAACCCTGACAGAGAAGTCTTGCATGCAGTCTTCTCCTGAGAAAGTATGTAATCTTAGTTATCCTCCAAGTCAGCAAACGCTCTTGTACTGTAAATGTTAAAAGTAACATCATAGAATGGCCCAGTCCAACTACAACAGTCCTTGAGTCTATTGGTCAGTTCGTTAAATGTCAGAGCTTTTCACATTGTTTAAAAAAAAATTGCATCTCTTATTACTTAAACTTTACGGTATCCTGAATGCTCTATCAGCCAACATAAATGAGTTCCTTGGCGAGTGTGTTAAACTTTACCACCTGTTTACATCCCTCTTCTTGGCAGAGATCACCAAACCAGTGGAGTCCCAGGCCAAGCCTCCTTTGTAATGGTAATAAGTTCCTTTTTCCTTAAATAGAAACAAAACTCCTCTGTTTGACACTGAGCAAACAAAAAGCATGCACCCAAATCTTTCTGGCCATGTTGGGGGCACAGGCACCCCCTTTCTACCCCCAAAGAAGCCAGGCTCTTGCATTGCAACGCTACAAAAGCCATTTGCATAGCTGTGTCAAAGCCTCCAAGTGAAGGCTGCCTCCCACCTCGGCATCCCACCGTCCATTTGTCCCCTACTCTTGGCCTTGACCACCAAGTACCATCCATTTACTGCTTGAATATTGGGAATTGGGGGATGGTGCCCGAATTGCCCTCTGTCCCCATTGGCCTCTCTGGCAAGTGCATACAAGAGCACTTCCCCTGAGGTGGGCTGGTGGGCCCCACAGAGAGGCGGCTCCTTGGTGCCAATGACATGGTCTCTACACACCCTGGACCTAGTCGGCAAATCGCTGCAGGAGATGGTCCTCCCGTCTCAAGCTGCCGCCCGCGCCACCGCCCGCACTGTCCATGAAGCGGTCGCAGGGGAACTCGATGAGGTCCGCCTCGCTGAGCGCGCACACGGTGGTGCGCGGCCGGTGCGACTGGAATCCCGAAAAGTCCGCGGAGACGCCGGTGCCCATGGAGCGCAGGGGCCGTCGGGTGGAGTACATGTGGCGAACGTGGACCGGGGCCCCGGCCTTCCGCCGGGCCCGCAGCTTCCTCCGCAGCCAGCGAGACGCCCAGGCCGCCAAGGCCAGGAGCACCAGCAGCGCGTTGACCGTCAGCAGGGCCAAGGTCAGCAGCTGGTAGTCGACGCCGCCCCGGCTCCCGGCCTCCGGCAGGGTGACCAGCCCCGCGCAGTGGTCCCGGGGAGCCACCGGGCAGACGCGACCCCCAAGCACGCCCTCCACGCACACCAGGTAGGGGGTGTCCCCGCGCAGCTCGCGCAGCGTGGCCGAGTCGCTGCGCTCTGGCAGGTAGACGAAGCGGTGGAACTTGGGCTGCTGGCCGAAGCGGTCGAACAGCAGGCGGAAGCGCGCGCCGCCCAGCGGCCGGGGACTGCGGTGCTCGCGCACGGCCCAGCGCACCGAGGCGCTGTCTGCGCCCACCGCCTCCACCGTCAGGTTGCACAGGACGAACTTGTTGAAGTCGCACGGGTCGGACACCAGCGGCGGCAGCCCGGCCCCGCCGTCGGACTGGGCGGCACGCTCCTCCTGCTCCGTGGCCAGGCGCTGCTTCGTCGCGCGCTGCCAGGGGTCGCCGGCGGGTGACGGCGCAGAGCCGGGAGAGGCCGTTGGGGTGGGCTCCACATGGGCGGGATCTGCCCGGGTGGGACGGCCCCGCCCGGGCTTCTCGCGCAGGTCGAGGCGCTGTGGGGCCGGGCCCGGGGCGGCAGCGGTGGAGGGGCTGGGCTGTGGGAGGCCCGGGCCCCGCCGGCTCAGCCTCACGGCGCTGCGGTTGCCCACGAGCTCCCTGGCAGCCCCATCCCAGGCCACCCCAGGTGGAAATCGCCCCCGCTGCAGGAGCTGCGGCTGCGGCGGCAGCTCCTCCGCGAGGCCTGCAGGGGGCGTCATCTCCTCCCCCGCGGCCGTGGGTAGGGGCCGTCGCCCGCCGTCGGCGGTCAAGGAAGCTGAGGGCGAGGGGTCCGCGCAGGACCCGTTCTGCAGCTGCTGGTCATCCAGGTAATCCAGGTATTTGCCTCGCAGGGCCGGGGGATGGCGACACTGCACGAAGACAGTGAGGAGACGGCCCTGCGAGTGCCAGTCGCCCATCCAGCGCTTCAGGCCTCGCAGCCGGCAGTCGCAGGTCCAGCCGTTGCCGTCTAGATCCAGCCGATAAAGGGCTGGGCTAGCGGCGAAGATGTCCCCGGATAGGGCGCTGAGCGCGTTGTTGCGCAGGCTGAGCTCGCGCAGCCGGCCCAGGTGACCGAAGGTGGCCGGGTGCAGGGCCGACAGCTCGTTGCCGCTCAGGTCCAGCGCCTCCAAGCTGTGCAGAGGCTCCAGCAGCGCGGTGGGCAGCTGGCTCAGCCGATTGCCCTCCAGGCGCAGCTCGCGCAGGGCCTCCAACCCCCAAAAGGCCTCCGGCGCGAGGTGCGTGAGCTGGTTGCCCCTGAGCGAGAGCAGGCCGAGGCGTGGCAGGTGCTGGAAGACGCGCGGCCCGAGGTGCTGCAGGCTGTTGGCCGAGAGGATGAGGGTGGAGAGGGAGCGCAGCGGTGCGAAGGTGGCCGCGTGGCGCAGGGAGGGCTGTAGCTCGTTGGCAGAGAGGTTGAGGAAGCGCAGCTTGCCTAGCTGCGCGAAGGCATTCTTGCCCAGAAAGCGGATCCGGTTGGACTCCAAATGTAGGTAGAGCAGGTTGCTCAGGGGGGCGAAGACTGCGTCCGGCAGCGCCCCGAGGGCGTTCCCGTCCAGCCGCAGCTTGACCAGACTCTCCAGGCCCTCGAAGGAGCCGCGGCTTAGGCGGCCGATCTCGTTCCCGTTGGCGTAGAGGATGCGCAGCTTGCGCAGCGGGGCCAGCGTGCCTGGGGCGAGCGCCTGCAAGAGGTTGTTCCCCAGGTACAGCTCTTCCAGCCGCGAGAGCTTCTCGAAAGTCTTGGGGTGCAGAGAGCGGATCTGGTTGTACTGCAGGTCCAGCCGTCTGAGCTGTCCCAGACGGTGGAAGTCGAAGGCGGTGATGTTGGTTATGAAGTTGCCCCCAAGGCTGTAGGTGAGCACGTCGTGGGGGCTCGGCAGCGAGCTAGTCTTGGGCACGACGCGGAGCCCCCTGTTGGTGCACAGGAGGTGCTGGGCGTGCTGGCAGTCGCAGCGCTCCGGGCACACGGGCTCGGCCCGCGGCGGTAGCGCAAGGCAGCTGCACACCACGAGCAGGAAGCGCACGACGCGGGCAGCCTCCATCGCCGCCCGCCCTGCGTACTGAGGCCGGATCGTCTTCTTGGCCCGCCGGCTCTGTGTCTCCTCTGCATTCCCCTTGGCCTGGCCAGAGTCACTAAATGGCCTCTTTGGGACTTCGCAGCGCCGTCCAGCCCCTCCTCCGTCCTTTGTCCGGCGGCTCTGCAGGCGGGCTTCACCCGGCCAAGTCAGGCGGCGCGAGACGCTCTGCGAGCCCTAGGTGCGACTTGTTGCATTTCTGGAGAAAACTGTTTCTCTGGGTGCGCGTCGGGGGGCAAGGGGAGGGAGCAAGAACCGGCGCTTTTTGTTTGCAGCAGAGTCCGGAGAGCTGGATTCCCTGGCGCGGATTCTCCCCGCCGAGTGGATTCCCCTGCTGCAGGCGGGAGCCCTTCCAAGAGCTTCTCTGGGCGCGGCTTGGCAGCAGAGCGCCGGCGGCTCGGCCCCCGCAGCCAGCACCTCCTCGCGCGCGGTCCCGGACGGGGAGCGCGGCCCCGGTGCAGCGGCTCGGGGAGCGCGCGGGCTGCGTCCGGAAGGGACCCGAGTCTGCGAGCAAAGAGCAAACCGGGCGGAAATTCGTTCTTCCCACACTCTGCCCGCGGGGACGCAGGCGGAGAAAGAGGAGACGGCGGAGGGAGGACAGACCCCGGCAGGGGGAGGAGGAAACGCTAAGTGGCTCCACGTCTGGTCAGCCCGAGCCCGGGATGCCAAGTGAGAAAAGTAGGGATTAAAAACAGCTGTACGGGTCGGACGCGCTAGGCTGGGGGCGGGGGAGGATTACCGGGCGAGCAAACGGGATTTGCAGACAGAGACCTTTTTATTTTAGAAGAGTACACCAGCCGCTTCTGAGCAGTGGGAGTGCGCCTGGCCTTCCTCGTTTTTAAGTCACTTGTTCCATCCAGGTGCCACGCTGTGGGAAGTTTGGGCAGCACGGAGGCCGCCAGCATTCTGCAGGAAGTTTGGAGAGCACAAGGTTGCCTGCAGAAGGCCGTAAGAATAGGAGGGTAGGTGAACCCAGTCTGACGGTTGCTGCTTGGGTTTTTGACGTCGCTGTGCTAGTAGCTGAGGAGAGGCACCACCCCCTTTTAGGTGTCTGAAGGGCGTATTTACTCCATCCTGCTGTGGGCTAGAACTTGAAGGTATCACAGAACTGGTTCTGCCACCGTGAAAGTGTCTCTGCCACATTTTGGTGATTCAGTTCCATTAACTCTCCTCCAGTAATAGAGCCCTTGGGGCAGGCTCTGCTCCTGTGCACATACCTAACAACCTTCACAGATCCAAAGGTAACTGCTTCCTGCAAGGCCCTCCTGCTTCATGCCTGGACTTGCAGTGATCTTCAAAGTCTTTAGGCCCAGAAATGTTCAGGCCTGGCTCAGTTGGGGAAGCATTATTATTTATTATCTATAGGGAATGGAGCATTTAATCAGTGGCTCCTTTGGGGTCAGCCCCTGCTGAGAATGAGAATACACAAAGAACTGTTAATTACTGTTTATTTATGGGAACCATCTTGCTAAAAATAAGGACCCTCCCCCCATCCAAGGTGTTGAGAAAACCTAAGTTTTGAGCACCTACTCTGCAACATGTGGAAAATTAAAGGAAAGATACAGATTCTCACCTTAAGAGAATGACAGCCTAGTGGGAAAGGCAATGCACTGAAAGGCTAGATAATAATATAAGGCAGTAAGAGAGAACACCGCTAAAACGATTTTTTTTTTTTTTTTGACAGGATCTCCCTCTATTGCCCAGGCTGGAATGCAGTGGCTTGATCTTTGCTCACTGCAGCCTTGACTTCCAGGGCTCAAGTGATCTGCACACCTCAGCCTCCCAAGTAGCTGGGACTAACAGGTGCCTTTGGCAGCGCCCAGCTGATTTTTGTATTTTTTTTTTTTTTTTATACAGAGGGAGTTTTGCCATGTTGCCAGTCTGGTCTTGAACTCCTGGTCTCAAGCGATCCTCCCACCTTGGCCTCCCAAAGTGCTAGGATTACAGGTATGAGCCACCACACAGGGCGACAAATGATTTTTAGTAATTCCACGTTTCACAGTAACTGCTTCATTTAGCAATTAATAGAGGCAAGTAAGAGAGGCAAGTTCTCAATTTAGAGGAAGATGAGATTGTTGGCAGGGTAGTCAGTGGTGACTTCCTGCTTTCAGGGAGAGGAGTCAAGATGCAATGATAGTATTGGGAGATCAGTGCTGAGGGGTGGAGCCGTGATAGTCCCAAGGTGCAGCTCCTGGCCTGAGAGTGTGAGGAAGGCATCTAGAAGAGGGGAAACCTGTACTGAGTTTGAGGGGTGAGTGGTGTTACCTAGACAGAGAAAGGTGAGCAGGCACGCGAGGAGGAGAAGCCTGGCAACATATGCAAGAGAGGGATTTAGGAACCTCTACATCTTCTGTCTGCATATTTAGGGTGAGCTTTATTAACATATTATTTAACGGTATCATACACGCTAGCTTATACAGTGACTTGAAATAAATATTCCTTTATTCCCCTTTAAGGATTTCAGCAGGCAGCCAATGTAATCGTACTTGCACTGCAACCTCAAGAGGAATCTCTGCCTCAATAAAGTAGGTGCTATACAAAGAAAATGTTGTCTTCCTAGTTCTTGCCTCTGGGTCCTTGAAATCTGTGACGCTAATAAGTGAGATATGTGGACAGAGTATCCAGACTGGGCATTCAGCTGTACCACACACACAGGCATCCTGCAGATACTGCATATGTACCTCCCTCGACCAGGCCAATATGGGCCCTGTCTCTGGACCTTGTGCTTTAGAGGGCTGTGTTCCAGTCCTCCTCTGGCCGTGCCCCAGTCCTCCTCTGGCCGTGCCCCTCCACGTAAGAACAGGATTTCAGGCCTCAAAGGAGATGTGCACACTCTTACCCATCTCCTGCTCAGAGTTCTCTAGACCCTGGAATTCCTAAGGAACTGCCAAAGTATAGACAGGCTGCCTTCACATCTGTCTTCCCAGTGACCAATCATGCCACAAGTGTATATGCTGCTAGGGCCAAGAGAGGAGCAAGGGGGTAGCTATGCAAAAGGAATCAGGAGATGTGGGCTGGAGTTCCCACTGGGAGGCCCCCAGGAGACCCCTCATAATTCAGGAGCCAGAGCTGGGAAGGGCAGCAGTGGGCCAGTGAGTGACCTTTCACACTCTAACCCTGGGCTTCTCAAATTTTGAAGACAGGCCTGTCTATTTTTGGAGGGGAGAAAGTAAATGTACTTTTAGAAAGTACAAGGAGAAAAAAAGCAGGAGTTTGAAAGAGAGCGTTTTTTGTTTGTTTGGGTTTTTTTGTTGTTTTTTTTTTTAGACAGAGTCTCACTCTTTTTCCCAGACTGGAGTTCAGTTGCATGGTCTCAGCTCACTGCCACCTCCACCTTCTGGGTTCAAGCAATTCTCCTGCCTCAGCCTCCTGAGTAGCTGGGATTACAGGAGTATACTACCACACCCAGCTAATTTTTGTATTTTTAGTAGAGACAGCATTTCACCATGTTGGCCAGGCTGGCCTTGAACTCTTGATCTCATGATCTGACCGCTTTGACCTCCCAAAATGCTGGGATTACAGGTGTTAGCCACCATGCCTGGCCAGAAAGCGGTTTTTAGAAATGTTAAGTTCTTCTTTATTATAACATAGGCTATGCTTAATTTTCTATAAAAAACAATGCTTTTTGTAAAAGCAAGGACACAGGTGTCTCTGGGTAAATGAATGTCTCTTAACTATGTAACGTTTTTGTTAATGGATGGATCCAGGCTTGATCAGGTTCCAGGAGATTCAAGTATTGATTATGCTTAAGTGTATAATTTGCATAATCACAACTGGAAATCCAGGAAGGAATGCCATTCATGAGAGAAGACAAGAGCTTTGTCATTTCACTTTTGGAAAGCTTGCACTTTAAATCTCAAGTGTACTGCAGGGCAGTTTTAGAAGTCAGAAGCACAAACACATTTGGGCTGGCTCCATGACACAAACGTGTGGTGTAAGGGCTCTCAGGAGTCTTGCCCAGGCATGGAATCTTCTCAGGCTTGCTACGGTTGTATACCTGTCTTCCCAAGCAACCTGTGGTTCCCTTAAACTTCAGCTACAGAGGTATGAAGGATTCCAGGCGTGTCTTCAGCAACCCCTGGAGCTGGCAGGATTTGGTCAGGCAGTGCCCTGGTGCTGATGGGTGAGGGGGAGGGGAGGTGGAGCCAGACCAGTTCTGCTGGAGCAGCATCCTGTAGCTTACTCCTGCAGCCTGCAGGAATGGTAGCTGTTTCCTCCCCTCAAGGGAACCAACCCCAGGCCAGCTGTATGGCCCCTGACACAGACGAAGTAGGAAACAGGAGAGTCCCCACTGATCCCTCGGCATATTATCAGATGCCCCCCAAATCTGTCTTTCTATGAGCTGCATCTTAGCCCCAGCCTGAGAGACAAGTTTCTTTTCCTTGGGGATTAAGGATGTCAAAGAGATACTCACTGGTTTACAGAATATCCACAAATTCTCCATTTCCTGGGAAATACAGGAATGCAGGTCTCTGGCCAGGTACCAGCCTATTAAATCAGAATCTCTAGACAACAGAACAATGGCATCTGTGTTTGTAAGTTTACCAGGTGATTTCTATGCACACTCAAGTTTGAGAAAACCAATAGACAATACTTCAAAACACCTATTTATGATTGGCTGATCATGTAACAACAATAATAATATAATTAAAACTGGCATTTACATAGTACTTAGTGAAGGTCAGGCAGTGATCTAAGCACTCTACATAAAATAACTCATTTATTTCCATAACTACCTGATGAGGTAGAAGCAATTATTGTCTTCATTTAACAAAGAAGCTCTTTAAAAATATAGGATCCTAGCCCCACACCCAGAAAATTGGATGTAGAACTTTCAGAATAGGGCCTAGAGATTTTATTTAGCATATTACCAGGTATTGCCTGGTGAAGACCCAAGCTTAGGAACCACCAAACTAGAGTTTTAAGGGCTTAGTGAGACATTTCAGAATCTCCTTTGCTGGGAGGCTGAGGATAAAAGAGGAGTAAAACAAAGCCCATGCCTTCAGAGAGCTCAGCATGACTGGGAAGATGAATGTACAAAAGACAATAATCTGGAAAGATAATACCATGCTAGGCTCATACAATGAGCATAATATGCTCTAATAGCAATTATTTTTTGAGAGGAAAATAAGGAAAAAGAAAAACATCTGTGGAAAGCAAATACTGTATGTGTCTCAGGCGATTTACAAAGTGACTGCTTCCAACACTCTGGATTTTCTATGTCCGAGGAAAATCCTTATCCATCAGTTCAAATAAACCTGATTTTTTTGAAACCAACATGTATAAACAGACTGTGCATCTACAAGAACCACAGTGAACTGTAGGCACTTCTGGCAAGCCTAAAGGGGGAAGGCAGATGTGGACTGAGCGGAACGACTTAGAAGGTAATGCAGATCCAAATGTTATTTATGGTTACAGTATGGAGTTTATTTACATGTAACTGAAATTTTATAGCAGTAATATAATGTTGTCTTCCCCTAGAATGAAATTGAGTCAGTAGCCTTAGGAAATGGTCTAGGTATAAACCTCTCTCTTATTCTTAAGCACTAAAATATTTGTCCTCGCTGGGAACCAGAACTGTAATTGTATTTTACGATACCACTTGCCACTATTCTTTTATTTGGACTTCTACACACGACAGTAATAACATTTATTTAGCCATTTGTATCCCTGCCAAACTGGAAGGTGATGGCCTTGTTTCCTTTCATTTTTGTGGTGCTAGGAACCATTGTTGAATTGTCAAAGTTTTCGAAAGATGAGCAGAAGAAGCAAAAATGTTAACAGTTATCTTTAGGTGGCAAGAAAATAAATGTTTTCATTCCACTTTTTGGCATTTTCTAAATGATATACAAATACTATGTATTTCTTCAAAATTATTTTTTAAATTTTAATAACTTTTCCTATCTAATTTCTGGTCTTAACATCAATCTAAATCTCATGCAGGAATTAGGTGAGGATCGCTCACTTCCCCAGTTTGGAGGAGAGCACGGTAAGAGCTAGAGAGGTTAGTTATCTTCTGGAATGATCCACCACTATAGTGGGAGAGTGCAGACCACGATCAAAACAGGTGAGCCTCAGCAGGCTCCCCACTGATATCTGCCTATATGTACAACCAGTGGGGCCAGTTCTGTTAATATCCAAAATATGTAACAACTGGTACAGCAAGGGCACCAGCCAGTGAGGTTTGGGCACTGACTGGTCAGGAAGAACAGCAGCCAAGAACAACCAGGCCTGCTGTCCCAGTGTCCAGCAGCTTCAGGTGGACTCACCTGTACTTGATTCAACTTTCTGAATGGTGCTTTAGCTAGCACTCTTTTTTCCTTCGGTAATGATGTTATTTAAAACAATTTGCACAAAGCTTGGACACAAGAATCAGTAACCATGAGAAGCTACACAGAGGCTTTTGGGCCCAAAAGCTTCCAAATTGCAGGCTTGCCTGGGGCCTGCTTCTCTGAGCCCAAGTTCATCACAGTCATTCAAACTCAACAATAGCACGTTGATGAGAGAGTGAAGATTATTAACTTTGACGAAAACACAAATGTAATTTTCAATTTATAAATCAGAAATGGTCTTCCATTGTCTTCAGTGAGCTGACAGATATACTCAAAGGGAATTTACTTCTTTAAAAGTTCTATTTTTTCACAACATGATCTAA